GATATTGATTTTACAAGCTCCTTTGATATTTCGAAACTATTCACAAAGTGTAAAGTTGAAGCTGAAATCTGAATCGTCGCAAAATTATTCCGTTGCACCTCGTTTTCTAAGAAAGACAAGGTATAATAATGCCATCTCTTTTTTGTCTTCATCGATGGCAGGGGCGATCTTGGATCGAAACACAAAAGATCGATTCTTTTGGTTCGATTAATCGGTTTTTTGAATCGATCCCAAACACGACAAAAATCGACTGGATCGATCCTTTTCATTTGAGTTTTGTTTCGATCCAAAATGAAAATTCCAGTGAATTTGCATGTGCCATTAAATATTGATTTTTTGTTTGGACCAATTCCACGCCAAATCGGTCAGTCACCAAACTTGACTATCTTCGATCTGAATGATACTTGGCACATATTTTCAGTATGATAGACCAAGTATTTTCCGCAGGAGAGGAGACCCTTTTGACTCAAAGGTAATTTTTGAAAAGGGCCTATGTGTTTTTGCAAATATACTTTAAAAAAAATGTAGTTCGAAAACAGTTGGTTGTAGAAAAAAATTTACTAAGAAGGAGTTGTAGGAAACTAATGAGGCTTTATAAAAAAAAATATACACGGAATTTTTTTCGTTTTTTTACAAAAAAAAAATTAAAAATAAACCTCAACATTCAAATAACAAAAAAAAAAACGTATTTTTTATTTTTTTATATTTTTTTAATAAAAACTTGAATAGAAAGCAAAAGTTTTGAAAACAACTGCAGGATGGACAAACTTTTAATAAAAAAGTTTTTCTAAGAGCAACTTTTAAGGCATTTTTAAAACTTTCATTATTTACGGCAAAATGTTCAGTTTGATGTCAGTATATGAATATAAAAATCATTTCAAACGATAATGTTCATATCGATAAACTTCCTAAATGTAACCGTTTTCAAGATATTTCAAATTTACTTTCATCATAATCAATTTTTTGTAGAAAATATGCCCTTTTCGTAAGTTATACGTGATTGTCCATCAAATATGATAAGTTTTGCAAGATATGCATGTACTTACCTTCAACTTACCTTTGCACCAATAGACTATTGGAAGATTGGTTTTAAACTTATAAGATAAATAAGATAAATAAATGAAATACCCATGCGTTTTTATTTGCATCTTACATTTATTACTTTCGATCGTCTTTAATAATAATAATTTGTACATAAACCTTTTCGTTGAATATATTTTTATTTGATGAACTTTTGATTGGTATGTTTTTATTTATGAATTTTTAATTCTACCTGATTATGAATAATAAATGTAAAAAGGAACAATAGCAGCTTGTTGATTATTCCAGTAACTACTTTGGGCAGCATCTTGAAGAACAAATGAATAATTTTCGGAAAAATCACAAATTATGACAACTTCTCCATTTTTAAGAGTATTTTTTGTATTTCTCAAGAAACTAGACTGCTGAGTTTTAATATAATCATGGGATACCAGTTTTTCCAACTTTTCGCAAAAATAAGGAACAATTCCATCTACTGGCTTTACAAGTTTCTCTAAACTACATCGATCAGTTGAAACCCATTGTTCGAAACATATTTCAGACATACCCTGTTCCTCCAATTTTTCTGAAAAACTTCTTTCAAAATCTGAGAGACCTGGACAACGTTCGCATTCGCGGAGATAACAATGTTTAGTTCTGGATGATGAGCTGCATAATATTTCTTCAAAATAATGGTTGAAATCTTTTTCGAATGAATATTTTCTAAGACAATGAAGCATTAAATTAATATTTTCATGGATGGTACAAACACAAATATTGTGAGAACCTGAACTACCAAGTAATTTGCAATGCTTTGGTTTTAGTGCTGCAAATGAACTAAATCCAATACTATTTTTACTACCTTCTTGAAATTTAATAAAAGCTTCTCGCAATGTACAAACTAAAAGTTGCTTTTGAATATGATTCTTCTTACCTTCCTTCTTCACTGAAACGTAATCGTTTAGTCCTGGCGTGGCTCTGCTTATCTGGTCGCTTTCGAAGAACTGCAGTACCTCGTTTTTAATTTCGGGATCCAAACCGTGTCCTAACCTTTTGTTGGGGGTGGCCAATACTCCTTTCCCGTTTGCCAAGCATCGAGCTTGCAAAACAATGTATTTATTTGTTTCAAGCTCGTCCATTACCGTTTGCGTTGACAAAGATTTCGGCAAAATCGTCAGAATCCTTATTTGATCGTCTTTCGATGAACCTGGATCAGCAAATCTCTCCTTCAGTTGTCCGATCGTCTCATTGTGTTCCGCAGTTTTCAATTTTAGTTGCTCCAGGTCATCTTCTTCCGCTTGAAAACCGAAGATGCGTTTCTTAATGCCATTGGTAATGTCCATATACTTTCTCCGGGGATAGTTAACATTCTGGAATTTTTTTGTTGATATTGGCGATACGTTGATACCAGCTATGCCCTTGTTGAATAGCTCAATATTATGCGTCCTGGAAAATTGTTGCTCTCCACTATCCTGAGATGATGCTGTTGTTATTGACGTAGTTGATGGTATTTCTTCGAGGCCATGTCGAGATGTAGATGGCTGCGGCTCCGCGATGTCCATGACTGACGGTTGCACTTCTAGTTCCAGATTTTCAGCACATGGTTCGATTCTATTTAAATTCAAGCGACACGTATCACAGATTGATAGAGATGTATCCAAATTAAATTTCCACTCTAGGAACTTATGTTTTTCAATCAAATTTTCGGATAATTTACGAAGCTTTGACGAACACCGTTTATTAGGAAACGGCTTGCAACACTTGACCTTCTTGAATTCCATATTCAAATTATACTTGTTCACTCAAAAAGATATTTTTAGTGATGTCTGTTTTCAAAAGGATGGTCATGCTTAAATACAAACGTAGGTACCATTTGGATATTAAGGTATAAATATTGTTTTGGTATTGAAGCTACTCTAACAGAGAAGCTCTTTTTTTTCATGAAAAATACCATGGAAGACATTATAATGTCCCTAAAATAATGAGATGGATAGGTGCATCAATATTAACAACTTAAATAGGATGAAACTACGCCTGATAATGAAAATAAGTGCAACTTAACTTGTGTTGGTTTCTAAATTTAAAATAATAGTGTTTTCATTTCCCCTGTAAATTCTAAACGGGTTGTCTGATTGTTCAATCGTCAAAAGACAAATTGAAGGTAAATATATGTGTATCTTGCTAAACTTATCAAGGCTGATGGAGAATCACGATTAACTTATGAAAATGGCATATTTTCTACAAAAAAAAAAAGATTTTTATGAAAGTAAATTTGAAATATCTCGAAAACGGTTATATTTAGGAAGTTTATTGATATGAGCACTATCGTTTGAAATGATTTTTATATTCATATACTGACATCAAACTGAACATTTTGCCGTAAATAATGAAAGTTTCAAAAATGCCTTAAAAGTTGCTCTTAGAAAAACTTTTTAATAAAAGTTTGTCCATCCTGGAGTTGTTTTAAAAACTTCTGCTTTCTATTCAAGTTTTTATTAAAAAAAATATACCGCTGTACCACTGTTTAGTGGGGTTTGAGTAGTGTCAGCTTGTCAATTCCGGCCAGAATAGGCAATCCACCTCATGATGCTCCAGGCAGTAGTCTCTTCCGTAGGCACTCCTCCTGGTTCATGGTCCCAGAAGTAGCGAAAGTTTCGCTTTTCAGCCCACAATTGCAGATTACTTGCCAGACAAAGTACTTTTTGGGGAATTTCAACTTCTTTGTAATTTTACATTCTTCCGGGGCACTCTTCCGGTCAACCGAGGTATAAAATTAATGCCAAGGAATTTGATCGAAATCTGTCAAGAGCGGATAAACCAGGATTTTCGTTTCGAGCTGGCGAATCGCGACGTGCTTGCTCCGGTGAAGCCATGATGGAAACAAATGACAACTAATGCCACTGTGGTTATATACACTCTTAGCTTGCTTTAGTGAGATTTTGAAAAAAAATTACTCAAAAAATGCCTTAATGACACCGTTTTTAATGTGTCCGGATTTTTTCGTGTCCAACCTTTAGTTTTGAAAATGAAGGAAAACTATTTATTTTCCATTAGATTTCGAACTTATTGCTTATGAAACAGTGAATCTGGATTCCTGAGAGTGCAAAATGTCAGGATTGTATGACATCCTAAATTGACAATGTATATTTATTATTGCCCCAAAAGATAATTAATAAAAATTACAAATCCCTGATCCTACTAAAGCTAAGCTCTCGTGAAACACATCAATCGATAAACTTACACACCTGAGCATCTGCGAAGACTGAGTGCTGGTCCCTTATCTATTGTGCTGTAATGCCAATGATTCGTTGTATCGTAAAAAATGTAGCTCCCATGTGGCAATTTATTTTCCAATAAGCCATCCCCAGGCCGGTCGTTCCGAGTAGCTTCCCTTAAATCTCGACAATATTTACACGGTTCTTAAGCACTCTCACCCTGCCGTCGTTTCATTCTTTTTTTTTCTCTTTTAAATATCATCCTGAGGCACATTCTTATGGGTTACAGCCGACGCTCAGAATAAAGGAGTAAATTGGTTCTGTCACCTGCCTAGCTGAATTTGAGAAGCCAATACCACCGTTAGGGTAGGCAATAACCAACCGAGAAGGGGTCGACCTTCCAAACTCCACTACTACGGCACTCACGTGTCGTCGTTTTCTCTCACTCCCAGTCTCTTTCGAATTATGTAGTGCTTGGTTCTTGAATGAGCAAATAAATACAGCTTTTCGTTTCCGAATGTCCTTTGACCGCTTTCGTCGCCCAAGATTCGAAAGTAGTCAATTTCTTGAGCTCTCCCATCCTTTTCGGAACTCACCGGGAATCAGCAGAGAAAATGTGGAGGCCCGAAAGTAAATCTAATAATGGAAGGTTCAGTGCACACGGCAACCTTATTCCTTCGTAGTCAAGCATGACCGATTCAGCGCCCAGTCAGTCAGGACCAAGTTTATTTTTTGTTAGGAGGAGAAAATTGCTGAAGTACCTACCTGTCCTTTTTTCAGCTTCATTAATCGCTATGTCCTCGAGAATCGTTGGCTCCGACCGTCCTTTCTGATTTACACTATAAGCGATCAGGTGAAGGGTTGGTGTGTAGGATTCGCTGGGGATCAACTCTGAAATACAAATGAAAAGCGGAAAAAGTTGCATGATTGCTGGTGGGTCGGTTCACTGGGAGGTTCAAATAGGATCTATGTAATGAAGAAACAAAAGATACTACCTTGAGAGAATAAATAAACCTTGCAATTGAGTTTACTCAATTGGGAAATCAAATTTGTGTTTATGATGGACACATAAAAAAGCAAATGAAATGTTATTATCTGTGTAAAGAAAAAATACTTTTACATTATGCGTTTGATGCTGTGCCATTTGTGTTTTTTCAATTTATTATTTATTCATCTATTTATTAGGACCGGGTCATTTCACCGAAGGAAATTTTGCTGATTGGTTCATTTCGCCGAATGTTTAATTTCGCAGAATGACGTTTAACCGCTGGTCAGTTTGCCGAAGAAGATTTCGCTGCCAAAAATCCATCTTGCACAATTATTCCAAGATTTTCAATTCACGTAATTATTTTTGAGTACCAAGATTTGATAGTTTCATAAAAAAAAGTCATCTTTTAAATAATACTGGCTTTTTTCTTAAATTGAACGCATACAAATTCAATAATGTTATGAGCATTGAGAAACGGAATTAAAAGTTTATCTAATATCATTTTTTACTTAATTTAAAATCTTTTCGTTCTTTGCAACAAATTTATCACATAGAGGTTCATAATTTTAGGATTTTCTTTCTTGCCGTCATGAGCCGTTCGTCCGAACTTTTCCTATCCTAATAAAAACTTTTAAAACTGTTTTTTTTTTATATTGTATATTTGAATTTTTCATAATATTAATTTTTATCTCTTCGTTCGTTTCTCATACCTTATTGCTGCTAAATTTCTAAACATTATTAGTTATTGATATTAATGGCATTATTGAAGAAACGTGTAGCCAGCCTTATTTTAAATGTTCAGTTTTTTTAATTAGTCCACTATTTAGTTGGGTGGAAATTTGGGAAATTCCTACATTGGTGAATTTTTAATTATTTGCGTTCCCGGGGAATGGTTCTAATGTTGGCCTTTGGATGAACAGATTGGGTCCCTCGGTAAAAATCAACCCTGTCTTTACTGATTAGGCGATCTGGGGTCCCTAGCTACTATATTGTCAATAAATTATCAAAGTTGTTGTTATTTTTTATATTTGCGTTCATAATTCATATCTGTGATGACCTTCGACAAATTGACGTCCGGCAAAATGGCACAGCCCTCTATTTTCCTTATTTATTCATAAAAAAAGCCAATCACCCCGCAATTAATTATGATAAATTGCCATAATCAATTCTATGGCCATTTAAAATTAAAATATGATTGCTTCTAAAATACGGTACACTCCTATTAAAACCTGGACAGATTTTGGAAAGGCCTTGACAAAGGCTGTAACAAGGTTACAAATGTACATTTAAAAATATAAATAAATAAAAAGAAACCTACAGAACCCTATTGCCATACTAAGTTCACTTGAGCAATACGTTCCTAGTCTTTGGATCCACTCTAAATAGAATATCAGATGAGGGATTCCAACTGACAATCGGTAGGTAGAGTTTATGCCAACGGAAATACTCTTCCGAATGGTCATGAATGGATACCTAACTCCAACAAGATAGACTTCGGTTCGGTTAGAGTAAAAAGAGAACTCACCAATTGGATGATTAATAGATCAACTGCGTGAACACTGTCGAAGTCTAAGTAGAATGGTTAGATACCCAGGAAACAATAAAAAGTGAGCCAGAGTCCGGCTATTGCCAGAATAGTGGTTAGTTAAATGGTGATAAGATAACAATTTATTATTACTAAATAGTAGCTTTTACAGAAAACTTAGATCTAATGCGAGAAGTGCGGTAGTCTGAAACCACGTGTGTAAAAAACACAGTTTGTACAGGTAATTGTCCTAGACAACCTTAAAAAATATTGCGGTGCTTATAAAAATATATTTCTTGAAGGATTAATCCCTTCAAACAAGGGTGCACCCCTCGGGACGGAAATCAAGAACCGTCTGACCCCCTCCCGCTAGACCGACACGACCGAGCGTCGGAGTCCACGGTTCGGCCTAATTGTTCGGACCGAACGATAACCTAATTTTGCAAGACGTACGCCACCCGAACGCCATCTGCAGATCGATTGACACCTATTGAGGTGAACTGTAGAGCTAAGCTTCGCGACAAATTGGTTGGAAGCTCACCTCAGCAGCGTGGTGTATCTCGCTACACCGTACACCAAACATAATGCTCGACGATCCGATACACCCAGGACGCACGCCACGGGGGTGATCGTATCGAAGCCACGACCCCGTCGTATAACAAGGACGTACGCACCCAGCGTATCACCGAACCGCCAATCCACCCAGGAAATAAAAAAAAGCAGGTTAGACCAGAAACAAACCCCACCATTGTTCACAACCCTACTAACCCTATCTTAATTAAACAAACACCTATAAAACGAACACGACAATTTATTTCAAGGCTATCGACCCTAGGGTTACTTTGAGGGGATCTGAAGCGTAGTAGTTTGTGTTAAGCATCTAATTGGAATATTCGCGTATCGTGTATGTATCCCTGTAGGCAATTAGAGGCAAACCAACATAGGAAACCTCTATTGCCGATATGATGAGGCTTTACCCCTGTTAGTAAGTTTAACTTTTTGGAGTTCGGAAACCACTTTACCGCCTTTTGAGTTCGGATTGAACTCGCCCTGAGATTTCTAAGCTGGGACGGGTCCATTTGAGAATTGCGCTTTCTTCACGGTAGACACGTCTACCTGGCGCTTAAGTGAAGTCTGTAATCAATTCCCGGTCCAAAACACCAGACCCGTTTCAAGGCCACCAATGATACATTCTAGATTCTTGCCAGAACGTTAAAGATTAACGGCTCGCAATGGATGACATTTTTTATATGATTAGGATTGGACTAATGAATAAGATAAGAGAATAAACAATTCACTATCATTCAGGAATAAATCAAAAATTTCTATGGTTGGAAGGATAAAACTGGAGATGTCCGTGGAAACAAAACTGACTGTTGGATTCAGTTTTACGGCTACCCAAGTAACGCAAATTCATAGAATTATGTTAAGCAAACTGCTATTCAACCAAAACTAGTTAAACAAAGGTTATATAATCTGATATAGAACATGTGTGTTGATTGGGTAGCTGTTAAAAACCGTCAATGGACGAAATTGCAACCTTTGTGGAAGCGCTGAATGCGGATCCCACTCAGATGATCGCTACATACCGTATAGCGGAGGAAAAATCTATATTTATCAAGTTCAGTACGTGAGAGTTTACGATGTACCACCAGAAGTCCTGGATAGCGATTTAGCATTGGTGCTAGGGAAATACGGTGATGTAAAGCGGGCCTTGTTATGCTGACAGGTGTACGGTGAATTTACATGGACATAAAAAAGGAGATTCCCAACTCGTTGTATTTCCTCAATCGAAAGAGGGACATCGACTACTAAGGGAACAAAAACTTTGTAAGATGGAGGGGCATCGGATGAACTCCTGTCCCAAGCGGAAGGAGCGAAAGAAGCTAGTTCAGCAACAAAAGGAAGACGAAACTAAACAAAGGAACCAGGGTGCCTTCCATTCATTTTGACTAAAAAAATGTTTTAGAAAATTATGGAATAATAAGATATTATGGTGGTATTTTGTATGCGTAAGGAACAAGAAAAGATTTTAAAGTTTGTGTTTGACACATAAAACCTGCAAATTTAGCTTTGACAGAGCCACAATGAGCGATTTTCTGATCGCCTCTTCGCGAAGAGTGAAGAGCGAAGAATGGGTGAGATAAATAACAAAATCGCTTATTGCCATTCTCATGCAGCATCATTGGCTGGTATTATGTGTCAAACACAAACTCCACAATCTTTTCTTGTTGCTTACACAAACAAAATATTATAATAATATCTTATTATTCCATAATTTCATAAAACATTTTTATAGCCAAAATGAATGGAAGGTCGCTATTTCGCGTAGAGTAGTGGTTCTCAAACTTTGTAGATTGTGGCTCACTTTGAGAAATTTCATTAGCACTCGACCCACCAATATGGAATACATATGCTGTTTAAGACCAACATTATCTTAAAAACGCCAAAATTGCTATACAATACAAAAACTATACATTTAACTGCAGGATTCCTTGAAACCCAAAAATAAAATGGCATTTAAAAGATGAAATTTAGTTTTGCTTTTTACCAGAGCTCCAAAACAGTCCAAAGAAATGCCAGCAGGTGAAAATACTGAAAAACGATAGAAATGCCAAATCAGTCAAAAAAAAAAAACGATAGAAATCCAAGTCAAAAATGTGCAAACATTGTCTGAAATTAATTCATCCTTTTGTGCGTAAAGATTTTTTTAAATTGCTATTGTTATTCCTGTGTAAACCGTCACGTACATATCGGTGAACCTGTCATCAGAACACATGAGAAAAAATGAAAACTAAAACTGCCATAAATACACAAAAATAAAAAATATCAAAATAATACTAAAAACTCCACAACAATCTAAAAAAAAACTCCGTTGATCTTGTTATTCGTATTGCGTACCAATGCTACCGACGCCAGAGAGGCAGCTCCCACACCTGGACCCTACCTCTCTAGAAACCCATCAACTCATGGACCGGGGGGCGTAATCACAGATTTTATGCCTCAGAAAATCTCGACGGTGTCGACTGGGATTGAACCCAGGCCCTCTGGAGTGAGAGGCAGTCACGCTTACCACTCCACCCCGGCACAAACAATATAAAACACTTAAAACCGCTCAAAATAACCTCACAATTGCTTATTTAGTCTTTTTTTTTCCTTGATTTTTTTCCGTCGATTTTGTTTTCCGTACGGAGTACCAATGCTACCGACGCACAGTGGGGCAGCGAAGCCATTTGCGTGGCCAAAACCTCTATGTTTTACAAAGTTGCTCAATATTAAAAGCGCCATTTTTTGAAAGTTTCATATTAGTTCATTTTTACGCCACATAGGTGGCGCTCGAGTCTATCTTTTGAACGGAGCATCCTAGCCGAGTGGTTT